TCCATCCATCCATCCATCCATCCATCCATCCATCTATCTATCTATCTATCTATCTATCTATCTATCTATCTATCTATCTATCTATCTATCTATCTATCTATCTATCTATCTATCTATCTAACTGAATAACTAAAATGCTTTCAGACATGCACTGAACTCCAGAGGGGCTTTATGTGTCAGCACAAAAGTCAGATTGATAACCTCCTTTCTGCTGAGTTGTATCTGCTGGCCCCCTCTTAAAGAACACAGCAGGAGATCCTCTGCAGGATTCACCATGGGCGAGTGGGTGTCATGACGACGTTCCTAACACGCCACAGACGCAAAACTAAAAATGCCACTCCCTGCTGGATGGAGCAGGTAATACACCCGTCTGTCTGCTGCTGGCCACATGTTCACAGTGCCAAGTTTATAAACCCCTGACTCCCAAAGCAAAGGGGCCGCAGACTTGGGAACTCAACCAATTCCCTTGGAAATTGGTCAGAATGTCAAAAATATCAACAAATCTCACAATGTGTATGAGAAGTGTAGCAGCACTTTGTGTCGATCTGCCTTTATATTTAATGGGTTCTTTCTTGGCCCCTACCCCACCCTTCGGAAAGTTTCTATACAATCTGTACAATAGTGTTTGAGGAATCCTGCTGACAGACAGACAAACAGGAATGAAAACATAACCTCCTCGGCAGTTCATTTAAAAACACCCTTATCATATCAGTTTCAGCGTCATACTGAGTTTTAGTGGTTCAAATGCTCAAGCATTCAATTAAATCAGCACAAAGTATTTGAAGTCCACTAAGCCTGGAGCATTTTGGGGCCCCTTCAGTTGTGAAGGCCCAGGATGGTTTGCAAGCCTCATCTGGATGGTAATCTGATTTTGTTTTGTACACACCAAACGGTCCCGTCTTGTTTCTCTACTGTAACAGTATCTTATCATCCAGATAAAATTTGGATTTGTTTAATGAGGGTTTAAGATAAACATTCATGAGATTGACAGCAAAACAAAGGTGTGCTGTAATGGCAGCAGTTTTACGGCAACCTAAAACTAGAACAACTAAGTGACGTGATGCAGTGGTTGCTGAGAACTACTGTAAAGGTTGTGGAAGGTCAAATCTGATCAGATTGTTTCTCAGTCTCCCATTGACTGTAAGTCAATTATTTTAGCCAGTGGCGTTTATGAACTCCAGCTTGAGAACAGTGGCTATTATATCATATACTGTATAAAAGTAATTGACTACATTTTTGCCATACAGGCAGCTCCTACTTTTATGCAAGGTATATATCAATGAGCAAAACTGCCATATATGTATATATTTTAGTTTTAAAAACCAGAACATTTTCTGTTAATTGTAAAAAGACTTTTATTACATTCTTAAATCCACATATTGAATCACCATTGTGCAATAACACGCAACTGTGTTAAAACCTCTTGGGCTTTATATCCATGACATATAAATTATTTCTTATTAAAATCTATATTGATTTAATAATAATAATCTTAACATAGAGTGAAAATAACAAACAGAAGGATCATGTCAAAAGAACATTTTTTAGAGAGACATCTTTAAAAAAATAGAATTACATCTCTCCAAGACAAGGACACTAAAATGATGAGGAACAAAAATAAAACAAAACAAGCAGTACATACAAGGATACAATTAAGAAACAAAAAATATCACAACAAAACCAACACAAAATTCAGAGATTATAATCCATCTTTTATATTTACTTTTCTTAATATCCTATTTCATCTATGACTCAAAAAAAAGTTTTGCAATAATGATATTAGACAGGGGTAACATCTTTGATACTTCTGTAATAAAACATTCACAAGAACAGGTACTGTACACAGTGATCAAGGTTTTAAGGTCTTCTATGTTGGTGCGAGGTGTCTTGCTATAGACGAACAGCAGACACTTTAGGACAGAGAGCCCAGCTATCTCCCTGAGTAAATCTAAAACGCAAATGTATTGCAGATTTTCATTACTGCCCCCTGGACAGATCTTAGGCCTGCAGAAAAAATAACTATTAAGTACACTGAGTCTTTAGAAATCAGCATATCTAACATTTTCTGACTTAACACAAAGTATTGCACTTTGTCACACTGTTGAGTGTCATCTAGACCTGCGAAGAAGCTGGCTGTGTATTTGGTACGTTATACTCTAAATTCTGTGAGGTTGACTGTGCTGGAGTGCTTATGAAAATATTAACCGTCATACATGGAAACAACGCCCCATCACACTTAGAACAATGGGAAAGACATTATTGCACAATCCCACCATGCCACTGTCTTATGTACCCAGTAAAAAATAAAGATGAATACCCCTTCATGCTCTGTGAGATAACTTGATGTGTGGTGAAAAGCACTGTCCCAGCAGTGCAAAGCAAACCTGGCAGAAATATTAAATAAAGCTAAACATCCAACATCGGTCACGGTGATTGTCTTAAAAGTGGATTAACAGCAGTGTTTTCTCAGATTAAATCAATTCTTTTCTCATAGTGTCTTTAGTACTCTGGCAGTACAATGTAGTTTTACAAAACATAATGTGTCCACCAGACGTCTCATCTGTACACACCCTCATCCAGAGACGTCACTTCTGTATCTACGTGTTTCCTGGATTTAAAGATTTGAACTGCTCTAAAATTACAGAAATTGTCAGCGGTGTAAATAGATCCAGCGTTTTAGTCTGACTTTGTCTTCTGTCCAGTTTTTAAAAGCAAAATGACATATTTTATGATCATTTAGTCATCACTGGCCTTCAAAATTCACCACTAAATGTTAATTTTTAAAGAAGCTCTCTAGTACGAATGCAGAGGTACTAACTCAGGGGGGTAGCTGATGACTCTGTCAACACTTTCCTGTGCCGTGTAGTGTTTTAAAAGGGTGAGGTAGTCAGGGAGTAGGGAATAAGGAGTAGAGGATTTATTTCTCCAATCAGAAAATCTCGGCCGCCTGCAGCAGCACAATCTGCCCGACCCAGCAGCAGTGAGAGTTGAGAGTGAGACAGACAGTAAATCCCCTCTCACTCTCGTCCAAGGAGCTTAAAATAACACCCGACAGCCCACTCTCTATTCTTTGCCCCTTATTCAACCGTGTAGGTGAATGTAACCGTCACATTGCAACATCAAACCCTTTTTTCCCCCAGCACTCCCACATTCTTTTTTTACCCTGCTGGTATCGAGAAGTTTTGGCGACCATTCCTCTGCGGAGAGGGGCTGAGCTGCGACAACTCCACAGCACCGCAGTGGTTGGCTGCCCAGCACCTTATTTGAACAGCTTTGAACACGAAAGAATTTTGCCCCAAGAGTTCATTCAGGATTCTACCATGGACTCATAAGTGCTTTAATTATCCATAATACTAGATTTTCTTCTCAGTGACAACAATCGTTCCATCCCCAGAACCCCAATGTAAGGGCAGGCAGTATCTGTTTGAGAGACCTGAGCACAAGCACATTCTCCTGTCCTCTGGGTGAAATCACCACTGCTCTTATCTTACATGATTATATTAGTGTTTATACATATACATATATATATATATATATATATATATATATATATATATAAAAACTGGAACATCTGAAAATACTTTGACAATACCTCTGCTTTTCTTTCGCTCTCATTCTCTAAGTGGCATTTTCAAAGGGAAAAGGTATAAGGACTGAGGTCATTGATTGCATTAAAAAAATAAAGAGCTCACATCAGTGTCTGAAGGGTGTGCTCGTAGAAATACCAACAAAGATCATCATAAGTGCTCTTTTTTGCGCTCTGTGTGCAAGCGTTTGTAGGTGCATGGCGGCAGACACTAGAGGTTTGCCCGCAATTCACACAGTTAAAAAAACGCTATGAGTTTGATCATGGTCCCTTTAAACAGTTTGTTTATACGTTACAAAACTGCAAAAATATGGGCACTACCGAAAAAATATTGAATGAAGTAATAAAGACTGACTGTAATAGAGACTGACGACTGAAACAAGCATTGTTACTGCAAAACTCCCACAAATAGGGTGAGGATTTTAAGTATGTACATTCTACGTCAAGCCTAGGGCTGTGCTGAGCGGTAAAGGGGACAGGGGGTACATTCAAAAATAGCTTACAAGAACTGTGAGAATAGAAGTCAAATTTATATTACAAAGGAATTCAACTTGACAAGAGGTTTAAGGTCTCCTAGATAGAAAAATAGTTTTGAGAATACAAATTATAGGCTACTATTTAATTATTTCCTTTAACTCCCTAAAAAAGAGGTAACATGCACTGAGTAGCCAGCGGCAGTTCCTGTAGTGTTGCGTCGAAACTGAAGGGACTGGCTTGCTGGGCAGTGTAAGCTACTCCAGTTAAGAGGTGAGAGGAGTGTGTCCTCAAGTGTAGCGTGCCGGATTGTCATTGAGCTGCTGGTTTGATTTTGTCTCAGCTGGTTGCCACATTTTTTAAATCTCCCCCCTCCCTAAACCTCAGTGTTTCTATTTGAATCAAGCTACGAAGCTGAACAGCTCTAACCCTCCGTAGAGTCTGGGAAGGTGATTTCACTGCCAAACACCTCCCTGTACAGAGGAGGAAACGTGTATGCTGTCTCAGGGTGCACTAGGCGGAAAAACTGCAGTTTGTCGATGTGGAGGTTGCAAATTGACTTCATTATGGGGAGCTTGGACACCATCTAGATTAGACAGAAGAGAAGTAAAAAATGGCAATTAATTACTTGACACTGTGGGTTAACAAAATCAACCAGGCAATTATTTTCAGCAAAGTGGCACAGTGGTACAACGGGTTCTGTACCTTCGCTAGCTTCTCTTCTGATGCTCCCTGTTTTTGTAAACAGCGCTGCAGAGCCACGTAGACTTTGTCCTGCAACTTCTGTATCTTCAGGACATCTGTAAGCCAGGGTCGGTCTGGAGGAAAAAATAAGGACAAGATGACGTCATTAGTGTTGTTATGTCACCGGTATGAAACTAAATGTGGTAAGTTTTATATTGTACAAATATCTAGGAGCAGGATACAAACATAGAGACACCAATATTCTGATGCTACTTAATTTCCTTTGAAGCAGCCGCTGGGAATTTTGACTTGACAGGGTCGGCAGTAATCCAAATTATTTGCACGGCATCACTGATTGAAGTATGTTGAGTGCTACCGTGACATAATGCAAAATTTAAGTGGTGTGACCTATTAATACGACAAATATGTGACCTCCGCAGGTTTATTTCCATCAATTTAGTTTAAGTGTGAAAAATAATGTAGCTCTTTGCAATATCATTATAGAACTTAATATGTGAATATCGCAGGTAAAGATAAATCTATTTAGTTGAGAAATACCTGGTGAAAGCAACACAGCAGCACTGAAGAGAGCCATATCCTCCTCAGACATCTGTATGCGGCTCAGGCTTTTGGCAAAGTCAAAAACTGCATTCACGAGGTCATCACAGCCTAGGAAGAAGAAGGAGGACAAACAAGATCATCAAGACATGATCTTAATGAGCCTGACGCAAATTAAAGGGACAAAAAAAATCTCCTGTTATTTTTTTTTTATTATGTTCATACATTTGTTCCCCATGAGAGAAAGATAGAGACTCACCGAGAGCTTTGAAAAACTGAGGAGTAGCAAACTTTCCATCGAAGAGCAATGTGTTATTGATGGGGTTGTAGGCCCGACACATGCGGATCAGAAGAACATCCATGCAGCCTGTTCACACACAAGAAAGAAAGAAAGATAAATTAAGAAAAAAGCTAAAAAGGCATATTCACATTGAAATCGTTTCTGGGCTGAGACTTAAAGAAAAAGAGCCTACGCACTTGAAAACCGATGTTTTCTTATGTATGAGACAAGTTCACTACGGATAAATGTGATGAAACAGTAAAATATAATGTTACTCTTTTCTAACGGAAATCTACTTTATATTATAGCAAGTAGAATATTTATTATAATTCAAAAGAAACAGTCAAATCTATATAACACAGACACTTTAACTGACATTTACACTTGTCAGGAGGGAGAACTATATTTCTTCGTCTAATTCTACCAGTTCTACATTCTTCTTTGACAAGATAATTGTCAAGATAATTCCTTGCAAAACCTGTGATTAACAAGTGAATTGTCACCTGTAAAACTATGGATGTAATTGATGTAATCAAGCAACACATTGCATTTAGCCACTAGTTCATACCTGAAGATGTTCGTGCATGTACAGAGATTTTAATTGCTGATCCTGACATGTTAATGTGTGGTCATAATTGCAGGAATGTGTTTCTGTGTTGATTGCTAGTGTCGACAAAAAACTCTACCATCTTCCTCCACCCTTCAGGTGTTCAGAAGGTTTGACAGATCATGTATGGGTGTGGAGACTTTTCTAGTCTTTTACATAATAGAAGCAATTAGTCTAATCAAGTGAAGAAAACATTTGCATGTATGTTCCGTGGGTATTTCATCTTCGTAAAAATGAGGAAAGGAAAGTACCGCACCTTACTTCATGATAATAGTAAATCTTGTGTGATTAAAACAAGGTCAGAGTTTCTACAAAAACAGAACAAGTCAGTCCACATCCATGTGATATTCAAAATCTGTGAAGTCAGCTACCACCTGAGGGTAATAAACTGTTCATATGACAACAGCCATCTTAGTCACAGCTTAAAGTTTGCAAACTAATAAACATGCACACAGCAGGGTAGCTTGTCTTGGTGGAGGCTCATCTGTTGCAGAAACAGCCCCCGACTGTTATGTGACTAAACACAATAACCAAAACTGATTTTAAACTGTGGGGAGTGTGTACACTGGTTTCATGCTCTGACCTGCTTTGAGGAGGATAATCTGATCGTTCTGACACAGGTCCATGAAGCCAGAGATGCGCTTGGCAAACTCCACAACGTACTGGATTGCATTGGTGATGTGAATGGCACATTGTTGCCACATCACCTCAGCTGACTGAAAGAGAGTGAGACAAAGGGAGTACTTTATTAGAACTGCAACACCTGAGGGGCATCAGACAAGTTGTATTACACAGTTGTTTATTAACTCCATCCATGTTTAGACATCAAGGAATGTCTGGTTGTGTTTAATGCTCTGCTTTCTACTAAAGATATCTTGACCTACAAGCTATTTGTCTCTTTTTTTCTGCATCTCAACTTGTGCTTTGGCTTCCTTAACTAGTGAGATGTGAAAACACAGTAGGAAATGTGTTAAAAAAAAGTTTGGATTTACCAACCTCACTGTTAGAAAGGTACTTTTGCAAAAACAAGGGAGCACTTTTATTTGTTTTTAGAAACTTTTTTCTCAATGTTTTTACTGTTGATTTTTACACAAGGTTAAAAACTGCAAACATTCATCTCTCTACATTGTACAAAAAAACAAGATGATGCAGTGATGTGAAATATTTTTAAAAGTGATTGCTACAATTATTAGATTAAGGGCACGGTCACACACTCATTTCAAATGTTCAGGTAGTTGAAAATATCTATTATTGATATGTGTTTGTATAGATTCAGCTGTCAAACTCTTGCAAGTGAATATTAACATGTTCCACATACCTTGGTCTGATATGAGCGTGTCTCTTCTGGGTTATACAAGGTCCACGCCATTCTCTTCAGCTCCTCTGTGCTGTACTGGCTTGTCTCGATATGGGACTTGACCACACTCTGAGTTATACGCTCTGAATAGGGGGAAATATCTCTTTAATGACATACAACACACTTTAATTGCTGTATGTTGCATATTTGTGTCTTTTCACCCTAATGGTTATTGTTAAAATTGATTGAATGGTTCAAGATTTTCTGGATTTATTACTGACCAATCTCAAGCAGGGAGCAGCCCCCGGGCAGCGGGTTGAGGATAGCGTGTGAGAAGAGTCCAGAGTCATGCAACAGCTGGTATTCATGCTTAATGCCGAGGTTGCCATCTACAAAGTCAAAATTGGTCTGTTCTGGTGAACTCTGAGAGGATGAACTGCTGCCTGCACTGCCACCCAGCATGTCCAGGTTATAGTAGTCGCTGCATCCATCCTTTGGGGTCAATGGCAGGTCAAAAAGTAGGTCTCCTTGCAGCGTGTTGATGTCGTCCAGATCACTGAGAGCAGTGCTGGAGCCTCTTCTGTAGGGGCAGTTGAGGTCGGCCATGTCGCCATTCTCCTCGCGGGCGCCACTGCCTGCACACTCCTGGGACTGCTGGTGCTTCTGGACCTCTGCATACAGGCTGTCACGCTGTTTTTTGGACATTCGACCAAACTTCACGGCTGCGACGAGAGCGTGAAGACATAAATGAATCATTCAAGAAGGTATAGTCGTAGTGAAATGAGGATTACATAACTCATTCATTGTGAAAAGCAAAACGGGGGTGGTGGAAACTCTTAGTTAATTAAATATAGATCGAGCGGCTGAACTCACCATCACGGCTCATGCCCAGAGCAAGACACTTCTGCAACCTGCAGTGCTGACAGCGGTTACGGTTGGTCCGGTCAATGAGACAGTTTCTCTGACGTGAGCAGGAGTACATAGCATTGTTCTGCTGGCTACGTCTGAAGAAACCCTACAGACAAAGAGATCACAGGTTATAGATCATAAACAAAAGTCTCTGGCAGTTTTATTGTGACTCTCTGCATATTATGGAGATGATTTCATAACTCACCTTGCAGCCTTCACAGGTAATGACACCATAGTGAATCCCTGATGATTTGTCCCCACAGATTTTGCAGGGAATGACCTCTATTTGAGCTGTAGAGAAAGATAAAGGACACAAATCTGTAAAATACTCAATAGATATTAATAGATATCGAGAAATTAGACATCTCAAAACATAAAAAGATAGATTTGTATTGAAAGATACATGACCACTGATTGCTGTCGTTCTATAATGAAAGTATTATTTCTTTCACTTGGCACATTGGTCTAGACCTGAAAATAGTAGTAAACTCCAATAAATCAGACAAAAACTCATGCAATTATAATGAAAAATTAATCAATCCTTTGAGTAATTTTTCAGACATGCCGAAAAATGTCAGTTCCAGCTTCTCCAGCGGAATAGTATATCGTATTCAATATTTTTGCATTTTTAACTGTCCATCAAAAAAAACATTTAAAGACATTAATTTTGGTTCTTGAAAACTGTGCCTGCCAAAAAAAAAAGTTTAATGGAGAAAATCTGCAGATTCATTGATAATAATAATGACAAATAGTCGCTTCCATGCAATGAATGATATGCAGCATGTGTGGAGAACTAATATTTTGCCATTGTTATGCAATAAATATCCAGGAGGGAACATTTACAAACAACCAAGCCCACAAATATTTGACAACATAATTTGCATATTGTCCGTTGTGATTAAGAGACACTTTTGTACCAGAAACATTCAACATTTGCTCTTTAGGCCTATAATGCTACAACGTATTATGAGGAAGTGTCAATAACTCAAAGGAGACGAGGGTATACATTATATACCTTGTGTTCATTGTTGAAGCCTGAGCCTTCTTACCCTGGAACACCATGTTCTTTTCATTATGTTGTTTATCTAAGTAGCTGGGCCTCCTCAAGCCCAGAATAGCAGGTCAATTGCATTAGCTGAGGCCCAGGGTTATAAAGTTTCGTGGCTCTCTCTCGCTCTGCCACTCCTCCTCAACGAACAAAATGTGTGCAGGTTAACAAAGACGCACTGCCTTGCTGAACCCTTGGAGCCCTGCAAACCTAACCCACAAAACAACTGCAGCCCACCGTGTCAACTGTGAGCAAGATTTTGATTTGGCTCGGGCTGCAGGATGTGCCCAACAATCCCTAAACCACTTTTGTTGGATCACACAGGGTATTAGGTAACCTGTAAATCGCAGCAAAGGATTTAACCGGCCTTCACAGCTCTTCTGAAATTGCTGTTTTCTAAAGGCTCTTTTATAAATTACTCACAACCAACCAATCACATGAGTCACTGTGCGTGGGGAGAGATGTGCGTCACACGCTGAGGCAAAACAAAAAAGGTTAGTGGCCGACATTGCCCTGAAAATCATGACGGGGGGGAACAAAATCTGTCAACATCATGCCTTGTCAAAGACATATTTGAACGTCTCGCTTGGCTAGAATTCCTGCCGGTCAATGAAATGCAACTGAGGGATATAAATAAATAAAGGGCAATGGAAAAAAAAATCCCTCTCTCCATTGCTCCCTTTATCGCTCCCCGTCCAGAGTCTCAGCCTCTCCCCCCGCCCTTCGGCCTGTTATATAACTGCTGTCTGGCCGCATTCCATGAACACACTCATTCAAAGGTGGTTGCCCTAGCAACGGTGTGACGTCCTCACTTGGCCTGCCGTGCTCCCATTGGCTGCTGAGCGAGCAGCTTTGTCCATGACTTGCTGCCTCACCTGCCAGTCAGCTGAGCAGCACAGTCAAGGCCCAGGGAGCAGGAACTGCTCCACTGACACAGTTTCCCATTTAGCGAACAGGGGGGGCACCAGTGGTGGCAGCCTCACAAGGAACACAATCTGGTTTCTTGCAGGTTTTTAGGGTGGAACCTAGTCTGACTCAAAAGCAGGGCGGAGGGTGGAGGCCTCCTTTTGCTTTGAAAGGAAAACAATGCAAGGTTTGATTACTGTAAGATGGATGACCAGTTGAAACTGGCAAGGTCAATCTATGCCACTGGAGATTTTACAGCTTGCCCAACATCTGGAACTATTTTCAAGAACATCTCGTACAGTGAGCTGCAGCAGGTGGAGCTGGTCGTTGCTAATAGTAGCTCTCAACTTGTTGCAGCATGTCAAGTATTTGAGTGAAATTTCAGCTGTGTTAGTGCCAGACCATAAATCTATTTTTACTCTGTTGAAGGTGGCAACTCAGAGATTATGCTGCCTTTCTGGTCTATTAGAAAATAAATGCTGCACAAATCCCAGCATTGAAGTTTTGTGTAAATCACAGTGAAGAGACAGCAGCTATTACACTGATACTGTCAGCTGTGACTGTTCATTGTTTCGGTTGTTGTGTTGGAAAATAAGTCTGAGTAACCACTCCCTTATTGTTATCAGAGTATATTGAGACTGGAATCTACTTCCTGTTTGTTTAATTCCTGGCAACAGTAAAAGAAGCATTTAATGTAGGTGTCATGTCTAAACACAAAAATCTCTACATTTTAGACAAAAACTATTGCAATTGTATAACTGAACTTGGGTTGATAATAATAATAACTTGGATTTATATAGTTCCATTCAAGGTACCCAAGGCCACTTTACAGAGTAAGTGAGTATTAAGTCGCAGTTTAAGCAATATCCCTGAATATAATATATATGACAGAACAAAAACTCTGTAGCTTTACATGAGTTTTATTATGTTGGAGCTGTGCCGAAGTGTGGTGAATACATGCTATCATAAATTTTAGGGGCAAAAAATGTTTTCTTTACATGATAGGTTACTATTGACTGACTGGTGTCAGCAATTTCCTGCTGTAAACCCTCAGGCAGGAAGACTTTGCCCTCTCATCCCAGCTAATCAAACAGAGTCGAAGGTCCTATTTACCTTTCTCTTTATATTTACCTAACATACTGTATACTTAACATACATTTCTGGGGCTTCTGGGAATGACGTATATGGTATATTGTGCAACACGCTATAACATTTTGTACAGTTGGCAGTTATTTTTTTATTTACACAGTTATGTTGTATGTCTATCATTTTCTCTTTCCACATATCTCCCAATGCACAGGGCCTCAACTACCACCTGTTTTCTATATAGCTGAACTATATGTGGAAAGTAATGATTCTTCTTTACTCCCTGATCTGTGTGTATCACAGACTCACCCAGTCTTTGTATTTGTATCTACAAACATCCTAAATATGGGGTAGAAGTATACAATAGGTGAAGATAAATATCTCTTTTTTGTTATTTTCACTTTACATAATCCCCTCTCTTTGTTTTCTTTGTGATTATGGATCATAACAGTGTTGAAAAACAAGCATCTTAAACTTGATTGTGGAAACTCTTCATTATCTCATCTTTCAAGTTAAGTTTCTACACACTTTCCCCATAATTAATATTTACATGCTGAACAACAGAACTGTGGCTTTTAAGAAAACATGGCTTCATACTCAGCGTGTGTGTGTAATCCCTCCCCATTGATTAGAAAAGATAAAGTCAATTTGCTCTATCACACTGATCGTGCAGCCCCGAAGCAAAACCCCAGCAGGCCTCTGCAACACATGAAAAACCAGACTAAGGAATTCAGTTCTCAGAATACGATTTTCTTCATGCAAACCGCAGAAACTGATTTAGGGCCATGCTGCAGCAATCACCGTTGCCTTGACAAAGAATCTCTTTACTTTTATTTCAATATCGCTTATCTTTCGGCATGCTTGCAAAAATAGATATGACCAATCAAAATGACTTTCAGCAACCGCTAAGCCTAAACAATGACTGTTGCATAGCTAAACATTTTTCAAGCAATCGCTGTGTACATGTAAAATGAAATGTAATGCCAACATTTTGACATTGTGCTTTCACACTAACAAGGAAGCTGGGTGAAGAGTTAAAGCTTCAGATAAGAGGAGTGCAATCTTAGCACGCAGTTGCCAGAGAGAAAGGGCACCTTGACACATACTATAGCTCGCTGTGAACTTCCCCAAGGCTGCACACTCAACAGATAGTGGCTTTGAGCCTGAGCTCAGCACAGCGGGGTCCTGGGAGAGCAGAGATCGGCCCTTTCCTCTTTACGGCTACTGTGACTTTCATCCTGGGCTAACTGAGCTCCAACACACTGCTTCAGGTCTGCACGCCACACAGGCCTCTGAGGAATAAAACTGAGAGTGCCCCATTGAAGTTCACTCATTTGACTGTGTTACATCATGCTGGCTGAACCTGTTTGTGCAACAGTTTACAAGAATACCTCAGAGATAAACAAGCTTGACAGCATAGTTAATTCTAATCCATCAGGTGGAAAGATGTCTTGAATCTTTTTGGTGCTTGTTACCTACACATACGACCCTTTTTTATAATTCCCCCTTTATACTGTGGATTCAGTTAAAGACTGGACAATCATTGTAGAATATGTGGTAGTTTTTACAGAATTTGATTGACAAACCATGCTTGACTGGACTGCTGGACTGACATACACTCTGGTTGATGTAAGAAACCTTAGCTGACAGAGGAAACTGAGCTCAACTGAACCCTGCTGTGCTTCATGGTTATATGTGGGCTTGCTGTGCCCATATCCTGCTTGTCACAGCGGTGCGTGGCTTTGACATAACGACACCACAAAACAAATGTATTTGGCCTATTAAGTAAACATATGTACCAAGGGATTTAAAAATATATATAAATGTCATCATCTGTGTCACAGGACTTTGATCTTGTTGTAGCATGCATCCTAAAAAGTTGAATTAAAGTCAGATTCATAATATCAACAATATCTTAAAGAGGAATAATCTCCCCCTGACAACTGATTTAAATGATCAACATGGTCTAAACAGTAATGATGACAAACCATGCCCACGCCAACACGCACACACACACACACAGTTGCAGTAATCCTCAATGACAGAATTAGGTCAATGGAGCACCTCCTATCTCTCTCTCCTCCACCCCCCCACACACTGGCTACCATACTGCTAAATCTGAAAACAAAAACACGCTGGCAGATGAACAGTAACAGTGACAACACCAAACGGAACTGTCGATGCTGTAAAACGCTTCAAAAACACCATGTGCAGCAAAGAATAACTAAATAATAACATTGCAAATACAGCAACACTGCAAATGCAATGTTTGGATCACACAAAAGCACTGAAAATAAAAGGGGATTAAGTAAATACAAAGAAAATCGCTTTAAAATGCAACTGAGTGGACTATTTGTCCAGGCTTAAGAAAGTCCCTGCCGATGGACTTTGCGTGTTTGACAGCCTGCGAATCACTCCGCTCCCTCCCTGCCTCGTTCTCTTACATAAGAAGAGTCTCTCACCGGCGGAGGGAGGCAACCGCAGCTGCGACACATTCCTCCTGTCACAGTAAAACACAGTTCCGACAAACACTTAACACCAAACAACCGTAAGCTCAGTTTAAATGCATCTGTTAGCTAAAGTTCTCTTCGACCGGTTGAAGATTCAACAACGCGCGGACAAGTTGCTGTGTCACACACACATCAGAGTTTAGTAGCTGCGCAGTTACACGTCCGCGCTGTTTCCCCACTGTCGTCATTACAGCGGACTACACACGACTTCACGTTCAGCAACACACGAGTCTGGAGTGAAAGTGTAACACTCTGCACGCACTCACCTCTCATGTCGACGGTAGCTAACCGAGTCTTGGACTCATACAAGTGCAGGTGGAGGAGAAGAAACCAGGCGCGCGCCTATTCGCTCCAACGCGGAGCAGCTGAGAACTGTCACAACAGCCAATCCTCATATGTGTTGGTTCAAGCTTCTTGTTGCCTTCTTCGTGCACCTTCGAAAACAAAGTAATTTAGGAGGAGTGAAAACACCGCCGTGCTGCTGAGTGTTGTCGTCGGTGTGTCCGCGCGGTCTCAGAGGAGCAGTAGTGAGGACGCAGCTCTATGAGGAGAACACGCAGCTCCGCTCGCTCAGCTCCTCCTGCTCTGCAGCGCGCTCTAACAGACTTTCAGCGCGTGGACTACACATGATCCTCAGCCCGCGGACCGCCCGCCTCGTGCCCCGTGAGCGGACGCGCGCGCGCGCTTTTAGGACGCTCCCGCGTGCGTGGGAAAGTGTGGCAGTGTGTCAGTCCACAGCGACAGTGGTACAGCGTGGGAACTGTGTAGTAACAACACTTTCATTCTACAGAGGAGCCTTCACCCTCAGCACCGTGCCATTCGTCCTTCTCCGCGAGGATCAGGAGTCTTTCTACGTTAAAAACATTTTCAAAAATATTACGACATACAAGATTGAATCTAAATATACACTTATTTAAAGGACCATACTCATGTTAATAAGTCCTTTCGTTATAATGTCATTTTTGATTAATCGTGCCTACCAATATGATACGTGTCAAAAAGCACAGGTCAACAAACAAACAGGTCGATGAAGGAAATCAAGATTACTGGGTTCAA